AGTAGTGGTAGTATTTGTCACCTGAAGTGGCATTTTATAAAAAATAAGTCATTTGTATATAAGCATTTTATGGCCAAATACGATGTGTTTTATGTTAATCAGAAGAAATCTAACCCCAATGACCTTAAATATCATTATGGGTCAAGCTATTTTTACACACACTATTTGGGCACCATTAAGGGAACCTTTTTGACAAATATTATGATCCTAAGCCTTTAGCTTAATCAGAAGTTGTTTAAAGGTTAAAAAAAATGACTGCTGTGACCTTGAATATGGGTTAAGGTCATTTCTGTTCTCAAATATTACCGGGCATCATTGAGAACCTATTTTGGAATAACATCACTATTCTAGATGTTTTGGATCATCAGAAAATGTAATTTAAAGGTTTAACACATTTGACCCTGTGACCTTGACTATGGGGCAAGGTCATTTTTCTTTTTTTGCAAACTTTCTTGGACTTCATAAAAGGAACATACTGGCCAAATATAATGATTCTATGCTTTTCTATATTTCATAAGAAATTGTTTAAATGTTATCACACATTTGACCTCTGTGAGCTTGAATATGGGTCAAGGTCATTTCTTTTGGCATCTTTGTTGGGCTTTATGAAAGGAACCTTCCAGCCAAATATAATGATTCTCGGCCTTCTGGTATTTCAGAAGAAGTCGTTTAAAAGGTTTTAACACATTTGACCTTTGTGACCTTCAATAAGGGTCAAGATCATTTCTTTCTGCAAACTTTGTTGGGCTCTATAAAAGGATCCTTCTAGCCAAATATAATGATTCTAGACCTTCAGGTATTTTGAAAGAAGTCGTTTAAAGATTTAGCACATTTGACCTCTGTGACCTTGAATTTAGGTCAATGTCATTTCATTTTACAGATTTTGTTGCGCTTCATCTAAGGAACCTTCCAGCTAAATATGATAACTCTACGCCTTTCGGTATTTCAGAAGAGGATGTTTAAATGAAAAGTTGACAAACGCCGGACGGAAAACAGACGGACGATGACTCCCCGCTATGGCACACGGTCACTTGGCCCTTTTGGCCAGGTGAGCTAAAAACAAAATACACCACAGCAATATGTGGAAACTAATAGAAAAATATATCATGCACGAATACTGCTCCCAACACAATATATTTGTCACAGTTTTCATGAGAGAATGCATTATAAATTGTCTTTGTTAAAAATACAGTGGATTATGGACAGGTCTTTTTTGACTTCACGGACAGTTTGGGACAGCTGATGCTCACAATTAGGTACAAGTCATCCCAAACGTCACAGATGAATCACCTCTGATATTGTCAACTGGACAATTCACTTCAGATATAACAGTCGGCAACTTCCTGAATTTAAAGGTAATGTAAGCCCAGAATTATGGACAAGTCATCATAGACGTCATGGATGAATCACCTCGGATATTGATAACCAGACAAATCACCTCAGATATTCCTGACCATCATTTGCTTGAATACAACAGTTGTTGAAGCCCACAATTATGGTCAATTCTTCCAAGAATTTACGAATTAAACTCGGGTATCGCCAAATGGACAAAAACACCTCAGATATATCTGCTATCATGATCATAAAATATCAGTCATCAAACATATAAATGAATAAGAAAACTTGTTTTTTTTTTGTAAATGATCCATTCTTAATCATGGTTGAAGTTTCAATGATAATTTTTATTTAATTTTTCAAAGCATTTTAAACATACAGATAAACAACCTTGCACACCTCACACACCAAAGCACTTGTAGACCTCATGCATCTTATTGTACAATCATCATCCTCCTCCTCATCATCATCATCATTCCATATACACTCATCAGCCCATGTACAAATCATTATAAATATATATAAACTTGATTTATTTTACAACAATTTCGAAACAAGTTATGTCAACTTATACTAATCACTCTTGTTGGCCCGGCTGTAAGCGCATGAGTGGTCTTATTGTGGGAGGAAACCGGAGTACCCGGGGAAAACTTACGTGGTTGGGCAGGTGACCCCTTACCTTTTCACGTCCGTTCCGGGAATCGAACCCCGGTCGACTAGGTGAAAGGCGAGTGTATAACCACTATGCCACCCGACCACCCATGGTATAATCGTTATCATCACTCATCATCATCATCATCATCATCACTCATCATCATCATCATCACTCACCATCATCATCAAATTTCCACATGCATACTCTTCATCATCCACAGTCAACACTGTGCCATCATGTCATGTGCAATCAGCATCATACCATATAAAAGCAGTATAATCCATGTACAATCATTTTCTCTCGCTCAGTCATCATCATCATTACTGAATATACAAGTACACAAATTTTTTCACCCACACATACAACAAAATGAGAGAAGAAAAAAAACAGTACGAGAATGTATTGAAATGGAGAGAGTAAATAATATGGAGAGAGAGAAAGAGAGAGAGTTTACGGGTCTAGAAGCGAGATCTGATTTAATCATCCAAAAAACAAAGATATTCTTACATAATGGTAAATTCAAATTTTCAACATAAACAAGAGAATCATAGGCCAAAGGTCATCTGACTACGAAACCTTACCCACGGTCAGATGATCTAAAAATGACAAAAATTGAAAACTTACTTTTTCCAGATCTGGATACCATAAAAGAATTTTAAAAATTGTGAAACTATTTGGTACAACCTAACTCATATATCAAAATCTTCTAATTCTTCAACCAAACTATCAACACTGCATGATAATGTCTTGACAAAAGAAAAGGTCCAATGGTCTTAACAGTCACCTGAATTCCATAAACATTGGTTGCTTTTGTTAGGGTTAGGGGTTGAATTAGAGAGAAATAGATTTCTACAAGCTTCCAACTTAATACCCCTCCCCAAGGGAAAATGCAAGGATTATAAATTCATAATTTGAGTTAAAGCATCTCAAAAACTCTTCCATCTATGAAAAGTATTTGATTCTTCCATATCTGAGTGTTAAGGAGATTTTCGAAAATTTGATTCAATTTGACACCTGCCAAAGTCCCCTAGGTCGGAGACATTGTACTTCATTCCAATGGCCATGAAAATACCTACCAAATTTTATTTAAATTGGCTCAGGGGTTGTCAAAAGAAGTAAAATGTGTATTGTTTTACAATAGATGGGCAAAATGCAAGAACTTCTTCACAACTCTTTACTATCTAGTATGAAATGCTGTTTACTTTCAGTAATAACAATCCTGCCAATGTTTTATAAACAGGAGACCAACTGGCCTTAACTGTCATCTGAATAAATAAACAGCTCAGCTAATCTACAGCATACAAAGAAGATACCATTTGGTCATAGAAACATTTTCTGCAAACTTAAAATCATATTTTTTATACATGCTACTACACAAATGTCATTATTCCAAACCTATTGCTTATTGAAAAAACAAAATTATATCTCAACTCATTTAACCAAAGAGATCTTTAACATCTGTCATGGTCAATTATTTGAAAACGATTGTCCTTCATCCACTAACATTGAAAAACCAGTTTCAACAACATTGATCTTTTTGTTATTGACAAGAAGTCATTAAAGATTGTAACAAATTTGACCCTTGTGACCTTTAAAAAGTGAAAATATAAATAAAATGAACATAATTGGTAATTCATTCTAACATTCTACATTTATCCCTGTGACCTCGAAAATGGGTCAAGATCTTTCATTTGATCACACATTCTTGACAGAAATTTTTCATACTGAGCATATTGAAATACTACAAACTTAGAAACTCATCTATCCTTGGTCAAGTCAATGGAAGTATCGTACTTATTATTGACAAATAGTATTGGCACATTTTTGCAAGATACCATCTGCATTTGCTCTTTCTTGCTGTTTGAAAATACTTTAATCATTTATAGTTTTGGTATCAACAACTTGAAAAATAAAGGAACTCCATTGAATGTTGTTTTGCGTATGAAAGTTCTCCATAAAATGGAGCTGTACAGTACAAATATATACAAAACACAAATATATACCAATATATTATATACAAAACTGTACTATGATATATATACACACCTTGATCCCAGTTTATTCAAGACTGTTGTATGAAGGAATGACAACGGATGCACAAGATGTTATAAAAATATGATATAGATCAAGTGGTCAAAATTAAGTATTAACAACATAAAGACATGTTTGACAATGTTAATAAAAAGTTGGTAATAAATGATTTCACATTAGAACTTAGATCAATCCATTGTCTACAAACTGCTCCCCAATGATGACAAGAACATCTATTTATTACAGGTTTCTGACCCACAATCTGCTTTTCTACAAATTTGAACAGCAGAAATAGCATGAAACAGTTTTAGGTTTCCGACCCCCATTCAGTTTATCCACAATTCTGAAGAATTTTTTTCCCAGTAAATCTTCACTTTCTTTCTTTTCCAAATTTTTCCATCATTAACCCTGCTTAGGTCAATTGCTTTCCCACATTGATGTGGTGTTGGCCGTATTTTTCTGTTTCTTGAAGAGCAGCAGACTTTAGTTGTTTTTTTATGGGCTTCGATATGTATTTATCATCAAACTTTTTGGCGATATCTGACCCAGAATCACATGGCTCAATGGCACCTACAATGTCAGGTGATGTCATATTGTGTAAATCCTCATATTCATCCAGTTGGGCGAATGATAACTCCTGGATAAGATCTGTAATAAAGATATCTTCATATAATAATGGCCCCTTCAGTCATTTTATTTCTACTTCATGGTTTTAAATCAATATTGTTAAGATGGTCATTTACAGTCCTTTAGCAATGTGAAAATATATGAAAAAACATACTGGGTGTAGGTCATGAGGGTACGAGGCAATTACTAAGCCTTGTGGTAACAAAATAGTGTTTTAAGGTTATTCAGAAAAGATGATGGTAGTCCAAGAAAGAATCTGTTTTCGTTAGAACTGATGTAATTTTCATTACTAAAATATTTTAATTCACCCTTAATGGCACCAACATCACCCCTCACAGCAGTGACATCACACCTCATGGCACCAACATCACCCCTCACAACAGTGACATCACCCCTTATGGCACCAACATCACCCCTCACAGCAGTGACATCACACCTCACGGCACCAACATCACCCCTCATGGCACCAACATCAACCCTCACAACAGTGACATCACATCTCATGGCACCAACATCACCCATCACACAGTGACATCACACCTCATGGCACCAACATCACCCCTCACAACAGTGACATCACAACGCATGACACCAACATCACGCCTCACAACAGTGACATCACCCCTCATGGCACCAAATTCACCCCTCACAACAGTGACATCACACCTCCTGTCACCAACATCACCCCTCACAACAGTGACATCACACCTCATGGCACTACCATCACCCCTAACAACAGTGAAATCACACCTCATGGCACCAACATCAATCCTCACAACAGTAAGATCACACCTCATGGCACCAACATCACCCCTCAAAACAGTGACTCCCCCCTCACAACAGTGGCATCACCCCTAATGGTACCAACATCACCCATCACAACAGTGATACCACACCTCACAACAGTGACATCACCCCTTATGGCACCAACATCATCCCTCACAGGAGTGACATCACACCTCATGGCACCAACATCACGGCTCGAAACAGTGACATCACCCCTTATGGCACCAACATCAACCCTCACAACAGTGACATCACCCCTCATGGCACCAACATCACGCCTCACAACAATGACATCACCCCTCCTGGCACCAACATCACCCCTCACAACAGTGACATCACCCCTCATGGCACCACCATCACCCCTAACAACAGTGACATCACACCTCATGGCACCACCATCACCCCTAACAACAGTGAAATCACACCTCATGGCACCAACATCAATCCTCACAACAGTAAGATCACACCTCATGGCACCAACATCACCCCTCAAAACAGTGACTCCCCCCTCACAACAGTGGCATCACCCCTAATGGTACCAACATCACCCATCACAACAGTGATACCACACCTCACAACAGTGACATCACCCCTTATGGCACCAACATCATCCCTCACAGGAGTGACATCACACCTCATGGCACCAACATCACGGCTCGAAACAGTGACATCACCCCTTATGGCACCAACATCAACCCTCACAACAGTGACATCACCCCTCATGGCACCAACATCACGCCTCACAACAATGACATCACCCCTCCTGGCACCAACATCACCCCTCACAACAGGGACATCACACCTCATGGCACCACCATCACCCCTAACAACAGTGACATCACACCTCATGGCACCACCATCACCCCTAACAACAGTGAAATCACACCTCATGGCACCAACATCAATCCTCACAACAGTAAGATCACACCTCATGGCACCAACATCACCCCTCAAAACAGTGACTCCCCCCTCACAACAGTGGCATCACCCCTAATGGTACCAACATCACCCTCACAACAGTGATACCACACCTCACAACAGTGACATCACCCCTTATGGCACCAACATCATCCCTCACAGGAGTGACATCACACCTCATGGCACCAACATCACGGCTCGAAACAGTGACATCACCCCTTATGGCACCAACATCAACCCTCACAACAGTGACATCACCCCTCATGGCACCAACATCACGCCTCACAACAATGACATCACCCCTCCTGGCACCAACATCACCCCTCACAACAGGGACATCACACCTCATGGCACCAACATCACCCCTCACATCATTGACATCTCATCTCATGGCACCAAGTTCACCCCTCACAGCAGTGACATCACACCTCATGGCACCAACATCACGGCTCTAAACAGTGACATCACCCCTAATGACACCAACATCAACCCTCACAACAGTGACATCACCCCTCATGGCACCAACATCACCCTTCACTCAGTTACATCACTCCTCACAACAATGACATCACACCTCCTGGCACCAACATCACCCCTCACAGCAGTGACAGTGGCATCCTCCCTCATGGCACCAACATCACCCCTCACAACAGTGACATCACAACGCATGGCACCAACATCACGCCTCACAACAGTGACATCACGCCCCACAACAGTGACATCACCCCTCATGGCACCAAATTCACCCCTCACAACGGTGACATCACTCCTCACAACAGTAACATCACACCTCCTGTCACCAACATCACTCCTCACAACAGTGACATCACGCCCCACAACAGTGACATCACCCCCATGGCACCATATTCACCCCTCACAACAGTGACATCACCCCTCATGGCATCAACATCACGCCTCACAACAGTGACATCACCCCTCATGGCACCAACATCACCCCTCAAAACAGTGACATCACACCTCACGGCACCAACATCACCCCTCACAACAGTGACATCACACCTCATGGCACCGACATCAACCCTCACAACAGTGACATCACACCTCATGGCACCAACATCACCCATCACACAGTGACATCACCCCCTCATGGCACCAACATCACGCCTCACAACATTGACATCACCCCTCATGACACGAACATCACCCCTCACAACAGTGATACCACCCCTCACAAAAGTGACATCACCCCTCATGGCACCAACATCACGCCTCACAACAGTGACATCACATCTCATGGCACCAACAGTAACATCACACCTCATGGCACCAACATCACCCATCTCACAGTGACATCACACCTCATGGCACCAACATCACCCCTCACAACAGTGACATCACGCCTCACAACAGTGACATCACCCCTCATGGCACCAAATTCACCCCTCACAACAGTGACATCACACCTCATGGCACCACCATCACCCCTAACAACAGTGAAATCACACCTCATGGCACCAACATCACCCCTCACAACAGTGACATCACCCTTCCTGGCACCAACATCAACCCTCACAACAGGGACATCACACCTCATGGCTCCAACATCACCCATCACACAGTGACATTACCCCTCATGGCACCAACATCACCCCTCACACAGTGACATTACCCCTCATGGCACCAACATCACCACTCACAACAGTGGCATCCTCCCTCATGGCACCAACATCACCCCTCACAACAGTGACATCACACCTCCTGTCACCAACAACACCCGTCACAACAGTGACATCACCCCTTATGGCACCAACATCACCCCTCACAACAGTCACCCCTCACAACAGTGACATCACTGTCACCAACATCACTCCTCACAACAGTGACATCACTCCTCATGGCACCAAATTCACCCCTCACAACAGTGACATCACTCCTCACAACAATGACATCACACCTCCTGCCACCAACATCACCCCTAACAACAGTGACATCACCCCTCATGGCACCAACATCACCCCTCACAACAGTGACATCTCCCCTTATGGCACTAACATCACCCCTCACAACAGTGACATCGCCCCTCATGGCACCAATTTCACCCCTCACAACAGTGACATCACTCCTCACAACAGTGACATCACACCTCCTGTCACCAACATCACTCCTCACAACAGTGACATCACCCCTCATGGCACCAAATTCACCCCTCACAACAGTGACATCACTCCTCACAACAATGACATCACACCTCCTGCCACCAACATCACCCCTAACAACAGTGACATCACCCCTTATGGCACCAACATCACCCCTCACAACAGCGACATCTCCCCTTATGGCACTAACATCACCCCTCACAACAGTGACATCACCCCTTATGGCACAGCATCATCTCTTAAATCACTGGAGATACCTGTTACAATGTTTGAAGAAGATCCAATGTTATGTCAAAATTCTAAACAGTTTTGATAAAAATCGGTTTTTAGTACAGCCATAAGAAGGAATTATAAACAGACCTATGGGTGAATTACAGCTTGATGAAGGCTGGGACGCAAGCACTAGACGTCCCTGATGTAGGATGGACAGCTGACAAATGACGGAAGTTATATCTTTATCTAATAAGTGCAGAGTAAAACATTTCACACCCTAGTGTCACCACTGATGGTTACTAAACAATAGTGTCAACACTTATGGTTACTATACAATAATGACACCTCTGATGGTTACTACACAATAGTGTCACCACTGATGGTTACTAAACAATAGTGTCACCACTTATGTTCAATACACAATAGTGTCACCACTTATGGTTACTACACAATGGTGTCACCACTGATGGTTACTACACAATAGTGTCACCACTGATGGTTACTACACAATAGTGTCACCACTGATGGTTACTACACAATAGTGTCACCACTGATGGTTACTACACAATAGTGTCACCACAAATGGCCACTACACAATAGTGTCATCACTGAAGGTTACTACACAATAGTGTCACCACTGATGGTTACTACACAATAGTGTCACCACTGATGGTTACTACACAATAGTGTCACCACTGATGGTTACTACACAATAGTGTCACCACTGATGGTTACTACACAATAGTGTCACCATAGATGATTATAACAGAATGTTGTCACCAGTGATGGTTACTACACAATAGAGTCGTCAATGATAATTATTACACAATAGTGTCACCACTGATGGTTACTGTACAATACTGTCACCACTGATGGTTACTACACAATAGTGTCACCACTGATGGTTACTAAACAATAGTGTCACCACTGACGGTCACTACCCAATAGTTTTACCACTGATCGTCAAAACACAATCATTTCACCACTGATAGTTACCACACAATAGTGTCACCACTGATGGTTACTACACAATAGTGTCACCACTGATTGTTACTACACAATAGTGTCACCACTGATGGTTACTACACAATAGTGTCACCACTGATGGTTACTACACAATAGTGTCACCACTGATGGTTACTACACAATAGTGTCACCACTGATGGTTACTACACGATTGTGTCACCACTGACGGTTACTACACAATAGTGTCACCACTGACTGTTATTACACAATAGTGTCACCACTGATGGTTACTACACAATACTGTCACCACTGATGGTTACTACACAATAGTGTCACCACTGATGGTTACTACACAATAGTGTCACCACTGATGGTTACTACACAATAACGTCACCACTGATGATTACTACACAATAACGTCACCACAGATGGTTACTACACAACAGTGTCACCACTGATGGTTAGTACATGAAAGTGTCACCACTGAACGTTATTACATAAAAGTGTCACCACTGATGGTTACTACACAATAGTGTCACCACTGATGGTTACTACACAATAGTGTCACCACTGATGGTTACTACACAATAGTGTCACCACTGATGGTTACTACATAATAGTGTCACCACTGATGGTTACTACACAATAGTGTCACCACTGATGGTTACTACACAATTACATCAGATGGTTACTACACAATAGTGTCACCACTGGAGACATCTAACGATATTATGATACATCACAGGGACTTAACGATATAATATGATATGCGAGACCGGGGAATCACAGGGACTTGGGGAAACATCTAACGGTAATATATGTGAGACCGGGAAATCACACAGACTTGCGGAAACATGTAACGGTATTATGATATGTGAGACTGAGGAATCACTGGGACTAAGTGAGACATCTAGCGGTATTCTGATACATGACACCGGGAATTACTGGGACTTTCAATGACATCCAACTATATCATGACATTTGACACCGGGGGATCACAGGGACTTGTGGCGACATTTAACGATATTATGATATGTTAGATCGGGGGATCACAGGGACTTGGGAAGACATTTAACGATAATATGATATGTGAGACCGGGGAATCACAGGGACTTCTGCAGATATCTAACGATATTATGATATATGTAACCGGGTGATCACAAGGACGTGTGGAGACCTTTAACGGTATTATGATATGTGGGATAGGGGGATCACTGGGACCTGTGGAGACATTTTGACGATATTATGGTATGTGAGACTGAGGGATCTCAGGGACTTGTGTAGCCATCTAACGATAATATGATGTGTGAGATCTGAGAATCACAAGTACTTGTGTAGACATCTAGCGGAATTCTGATATGTGAGACCTGGTAATCACAGGGACTTGGGGATACATCTAGCGGTATTCTAATATGTGACAAAGGGAATTACTGGGACTTTTAATTACATCCAACTATATCATGACATGTGACACCGGGGGATCACAGGGACTTGTGGAGACATTTAACGATATTATGACATGTGAGACCGGGGGATCACAGGGACTTGTGGAGTAATCAATCGGTATTTTGATATGTGAGACTATGGTATCAGACACGTCTGGAGACATATACCGGTTTTATGATGTGTGATACCGGGTAATCACAGGGACTTGTGGCGACATTTAACGATATTATGATATGTTAGATCGGGGAATCACAGGGACTTAGGAAGACATCTAACGATAATATGATATGTGAGACCGGGGAATCACAGGGACTTGGGGAAACCTCTAACGATATTATGATATGTTCAACCGGGTGATCAGATGGACTTCTGCAGACATTTAACGATATCACGATATGTGACACCGGGGAATCACAGGGACTTGGGGAGACATCTAACGGTATTATGATATATGAGGAAATTGGATCACAGGGACCTGTGGAGACATCTGATGGTGTTACGATATGCGAAACCGTGGGAATCACAGGGACCTGTGGAGACATCTAACGATATTATGATATATGAGAAAGGGGAATCACAGGGACTTGGGGAGACATGAAACGATAATATGATATGCGAGACCGGGGAATCACAGGGACTTGGGGAAACATCTAACGGTAATATATGTGAGACCGGGAAATCACACAGACTTGCGGAAACATGTAACGGTATTATGATATGTGAGACTGAGGAATCACTGGGACTAAGTGAGACATCTAGCGGTATTCTGATACATGACACCGGGAATTACTGGGACTTTCAATGACATCCAACTATATCATGACATTTGACACCGGGGGATCACAGGGACTTGTGGCGACATTTAACGATATTATGATATGTTAG